TCAGGCCCAGCCAGCACGGGTTTGTGAAAGGCAGGTCATGACTGACCAACCTCATCTCCTTCTATGACTGGGTGACCAGTCTGGTAGATGAGGAAAGGGCTGTTGATGCAGTCAGCCAGACTTTAGCAAAGCCTTTGACACAGTCTCTCACAGGCTTCTTCTGGGGAAACTGGTTCCCCTTGGCCTGGACAGGTATACACTCCTTTGGGTAAGAAACTGGCTAGAGGGCCATGCCCAGCGGGTAGTGGTGAATGGAGTGAAGTCCAGCTGGCAACCAGTTTCAAGTGGTGTCCCCCAGGGGTTGGTATTGGGGCCCATCTTGTTAAATAGTTATTGATGACCTAGATGAGGGGATTGAGTGCACCCTCAGTAAGTTTGCAGATGACACCAAGTTGGGAGGTGGTGTTGATCTGCCTGAGGGTAGGGAGGCCCTTCAGAGGGATCTAGATAAGTTGGATCGGTGGGCTGAGGTGAATGGGATGAGGTTTGACAAGGCCAAGTGCCAGGTCCTGCATTTTGGCTGCAACAACCCCATGCAGTGCTATAGGCTTGGGGATGAGTGGCTGAATGAGTGTGAAGAGGAAAGGGAGCTGGGGGTGTTGGTTGATGCTCAGCTGAACATGAATCGACAGTGTGCCCAGGTGGCCAAGAGGGCCAACAGCATCCTGGCCTTAGAAATAGTGTGGCCAGCAGGAGCAGGGAGGTGATCATCCGCCTGTACTCAGCACTGGTGAGGCTGCACCTTGAGTATTGTGTTCAGTTTTGGGCCCCTCACTACAAGAAAGACATTGAGGCCCTGGAACGTGTCCAGAGAAGGGCAACGAAACTGGTGAGGGGTCTGGAGCACAAGTCTTATGAGGAGCGGCTGAGGGAGCTGGGATTGTTCAGTCTGGAGAAGAGAAGGCTCATGGGAGACCTCATTGCACTGTACAACTTGTTGGAGGTTGTGGTGAAGAGGGGTTTGGCCTCTTCTCCCAGGCAACAAGCAGAACCCAGGGAAATGGCCACAAGTTGTGTCAGAAGAGGTTTAGGTTGGACATGAGGAAAACTTTTTCTCTCAGAGAGTGGTCAGGCACTGGAATGGCTGCCCAAGGAGGTGGTGGAGTCGCCGTCCCTGGCAGTGTTCAAGAGGCATCTGGATGAGGAGCTGTGAGATTTGGTTTAGTGCTTGTGGTAGCAGTGTAATGAGAAGATGGTTGGACTGGGTGATCTTATAGGTCGTTTCCAACCTTGTGATTATATGACTCCATGATTCTATGATTCTTTGTGCACTGTGGTGGGTGGCAACACAAGGAAGGCTACTAAGTCAGGATTTGCTTCTCAGTAATTAATCATGCCACTGTTTTCTTCTCAAGCAGTTTGTGACCTCTAATCATATTTTTTAGCAAAATGTTTTTGGACTAACACTTAAGAAGGATTGCAATTTGAAGCAAATATCATAATGATTTTTAAAAACTCTTGTCTGTGCTCCTCAAACCCACACGAAGAAATGTGAAGAACACAATGTAAAAATACTATTGTGGCATTTAATAACTTTTTAAATTCAAAGGTCACTAAGTCTTTTTATAAAGATGTAAATGACAACTTTGTGAGGTTTCATGGCAATTATTTTCAAGAAGAATATTTACTGGCAATGTTATATACCTTTTACATTTCTGGATTGTAGCTTGCACATTTGAATTTGTATGTGGAAATGTACGTGTGCATCTTTTACTCCACTATGCCCTTCTGAAAACTTTGTTCTGAAAACTATGTCTTCTGAAAACTTTCAAAGTTAATCAACCCAATATTAATCAGTATTTTATGAGATGCCAGCACAGGTCTTGAAGACCTGTGGCCCATGAATCACAGCCTGACAAGAGCTACAGTAAAGCAGAAATTATCCCAACTAAAGTGTAAATAGTATATCTCCCTAGCTCTCACAATCTCTCTAGCTGCAGACAATCATCGTTTTCTTATTTGGTGTTTTTCCCGCAACCTTCATATCCTTGCATTCCTATATTGCATTCTATCCACCTTTGTGGCAAAGCACTGAACTAACTTAAGACATATGAGCTAGACTTTTATTTAACATTGCCTAAAATTCCCTGTTTTCTTACTGTAGAATAAAAATGAGAAGACAAATTATTCGGAACACCTTTTTTTGTTGGTGGTGATTTTTTTTTTTTTGGTGATGCAGGTAGTTTCAAATTTTTTGTGCTTAAAAAATGTTTTTTGCTCTGTTTAAAAACAGTTTGGATGTGGTGCTCAGGGACATGATTTAGTGGAGGTTTGCAAGAGTTAGGGTAGTATGGTTAGGTTGTGGTTGGACTCAATGGTCTTCAGGTCTTTTCCAACCTGATTCCTTGATTCTATGATTCTATTCTATGATTGTATGAATGTGGAAATGTAACATACATTTCTTTTAGAACTAATGAATACGTGCAGCTCTCCTCAAAGAGTAGCCAGTTGAGGACAAACTTACTCTGGAGATTCATCAGTCTTCTGAAAACTTTCAAAGTTAATCAACCCAATATTAATCAGTATTTTATGATATGCCAGCTTAGAAGAATTCATGCTATAGTTTGATCTCTATCACTTCAGACATTCTTGTAAAATCATATTTGAGATGTGATTCTTTATCTTTCGTATTAAAGTATCCAACTGCTTATACATTATAGTACAATATATATTGGATATTTAATGCTATTCCAAAGCTGCATTTGACCCCTTAACTGCTGTACTTGTAGTGCACACATACATTGGATTGTTCATTTTGCTTAAGATTAGAGAGCTTCTATTGAAAATATTGGATATCCTTTCTGTGGAGAGGAATCGAACACAATTACCAAATCTAAGATAAATTTTAAAGCATATTTAAAAGTTGTAGTCAGTACATTCCAGGAATTGCTTACTCTACAATACAGCAAAGGATGATGAGAAACCCATACGTTTTGATAGTTTGGTCAATACCTGCTTTTTCTGAAATCTAGTAAAAAAATTAATAGTATGTAGTGGTCATCCAAGAAAAAGTTGTGGGCACTATGAATTTGGTTAACTCTTGAAGAATCTCCAGTTATAGCAGTATTAAAGCAAACGCTTTCACACTGGCTAAACAAAAGCCCAAACCTTAGTGTATGGAAACATAAGAAAAGTCTCGGCTCTAAGAAAAACAAACAGGATTTGTGTATCATATATGTAACTTTTGCTTGAAACTGAACAGATTTTTCTGGCCAAACAGAAAAATCAGAGGTCCAGGCTTCTCTCTTCATGTCAGAAAGTTTTCTGGACCAACTTTAGATGGGATAACATGAATTACTTCAGGTCTCTATGGCCTTGTTCTCAAGATTGTTTTCAGAATGTCATTCTGAAGATCAGCTTTTCTTTGTAGTTCTGATAATTTTATTTTGGAACAAGAGCACTAAGTCATATTAAATTAAAAAGGGATTAGTGTGTAAAATTTGAATATTTATTAAATATCTGATTTTATTTTCCATATTGGCATCTTAAAATGTTTTTATGACTCTAGTAGTCTGATATTAACTAGGAAGGATGGTCCTTTGACTGAAACACTGTCACAGAATGTGACTGGAAGAGACCTATGAAAATCATCTAGTCCAACCGTTCCACTACAGCAGGTTCCACAGGAAAGTGTCTGAGTGGGTTTTGAACGTCTCCAGAGAAGTCCACAACCTCTCTGGGCAGCTTGTTCCAGTGTTCTGCCACCATCAAAGTAAAGAAATTCTTTCTCATGTTCAGATGGAATATCTTGTGTTCCAGTTTGTGCCCATTGCCTCTAGTCCCGTTGCTGCACACCATGGAAAAGAGCCTGTCTCCATCTAGTTGACATCCATCCTTCTGGGTAAGTGTTGGTAAGGTCCTATCTCAGTCTTCTCTAGACATATGTGGTAGCATCTTCCACTATTTCTGAGCAGTCTTTTTAGTGCAGTAAGATTTGACAGCATTCAGAATGGCTCAGATCCTTAAATTTCTTCAGGATCCCTAGTCTAGATTTGTATTATTCATAATTTAGCCTAAGCTTTCAAAAGAATCATCTCTTTACTATTATGCTGAACATACTGTGTAATGATAGCTTTTGGTTTAAGCAGTACGCACTAAGATTGCGCCACGTGGAGATGGTGGTGTGTCCTTTTATTTTCTGCCTCATCCCATGTTCCCTGTTGGGAATGCCTCTAAGCATTGTTATGTGCTTGTTTCCAGCTACACAGCTTGGCAGACCAGGTGTGGGAGTGCATGAATTTGTAGCCAAAGAACACCAGGTGACAAGCAAGTCAGCCCCACTACGTAAATCAGCACTTGGTGATTAGACTCAGATGCAAGAAATGGGGACAAGTTGGGAAAACGGAGCAGATCCACACTGGTCCGATGTGCACACGGGGTCACGGATGATTCCCTCTCGTCCAACCCCTCTGTTACAGAGGACCAGAGAGATGGCTGCCAAGGGCTACTCCGCGCTGCTGCGCTCTTAATCCTCACCAGCAACTGTCCCACACTGGCTTCTGTCCACACCGGCACCGCCGCGCGGCATCAGCCTGACAGAGCCATTCTCCCGCCTTGTCTCAGCTGGAAACTCTTGACAAAAATGCCCACCTCAGAGCCGCGAGCCCAGCAATCTCGCGGACTGCACCTCCCAGCATGCCCCGCGCCCCAGGAGGGGCGGGCCGGGCGAGCGGCAGCATCCAATGGGAGCGAGTGATACTGGGACGTGAGCGCCGGGGCGGGCGGGCCGCTGGAGAACCGCGAGCAGTGCGGGAATTTCGGACGGCGCGGGAGGAGCGGCAGCTGGGCCCGGGGCGCGGCGGAGGTACTGGGAGCGGCGGCTGCTTCTGGGGGTGCTGCGTTTTCTTCTTCTTCCTTTTACTTTCTTTCTTTCTTTTCTTTTTTTTTTTCTTTTCTTTCTTTCTTTCTTTCTTTTTTTTTTTTTTTTTAGGCTCTGAGATCTGCTGCGCCTTCCTGCTTCGCTTTCGGCCTTGCCTTGCGTCCTCCGCCGTTCTGGCAGGCTGCGGCCGGGCTCTCCGGGGAGAGTTCCTTCTCCGGGGAGTTTGCGCGGTGCCGATCCTTCGCCATTCCTCCTGGGGGAGCCTGCCCGGGCGGGCAGGGCGAGGTGAGCGGAGGCTTCCAGCTCCGCAGCTTCCCTGTGGTCTGTGCTGCTTCCACTTTTGGCGGCAGGGCCTAAATGGCTTTCTTTCACGTTTGTTTTTTAGTGCAGAGGTGAGGGAGGAGTAAAAGTGTCACCGGCAGCTCCGTCACCCGCAGGAAGATCCCTGCGTGACCGACGCACAAAACAATGCCGTGGCTGCGAAGCAGTCCTGAATTTTGCCTTTTAGTAAGCATAGGAGAGCCGCTTCGAAAGTAATGCCTGCTATTTTATTACGTTGGTCTCTGACGTCAGAATGTCGGTGGCATGGCAGCAGTGGTTGAACCTTCCCACCAACGTGCCGTTCCATTTTATAGCCGTGTGACAAACGGCAGCAGGGGGCGGTCTGACAAAATAAGGTGTGTGAATGGAGCAAAGGTGTGTCACTGAATCCTTCCACGCGGAAAAAGTGGCACCCTCTAACACTCACTGATGTTTGCTGAAACCAAACAGTGGGTAAGAGCACAGCAAGGCGGTGGGTAGTGCATTTCAGCAGTGGGTCACCTCCACTGGTGCAAATTGTTAGCAGCGTGACATGCAGGCTTTTGTTCATTGCTGGCGAAAATGCGTAGCTCATGGTAATGACTATGTTGAGAAGCAGGCTTTTGGAGCTGAGCTTCTGCTCTTTTGACTGAGTAGTATGGTGCTCGTTGTGTCTGAAGTTTCTGTGGAAATAAATAGGAGGTGTTACTTTCAGAGTTATCTAGGTGGTATTCCTCTTATATACAAACCTCCAAGTCACTGTTCGTCAGTTTTAGGATCAGGGTAGTTGTGCAACAACTGGACCAAGCTGGTTCTGGCAGTGGTTGTGGTTTTCATTCCCTGTGTCTTGCCCTTTGCATTTCTTTTTGAGATGCAATAGCAGACGTGTCTAACTTGTCTTCGGTTTTCAGCTTGTGCTTTAGGTTTTTTAATTTAATTTTTTTTTATTATTTCATGGTGATACGTAGTCCTTTTGTATCATTAACAATAACATAAAAACTTCCTGTGTGAGATTTCCTGTAGTTATTGCTGTGTCAAAAGACTGGCGCCCTCTTTGTAGGGATAAATTATCTCCTTAGTTCTCAAGGATGATCCCTCAGTTAGGTTGTCTGTTTTCTTTTTTGCAGGCAGACCTAGATGTCTTGCCGTGACTGATGAACATTATTAATAAACACGTACGTTAAAGGTGTTGCTGGAATTGCCTGTTCATGAACTGGAGCACAGGTCACCAGCATGCCTTCATACTATGGGGAGTGAAAATGGGCCCTGTTGAGATCAACAACAATAAAAAAGACAATTTCTAGAGAGTAAAAGGAAGATCATGAAGAAACTGGTCTGAATTGCCACACAGCAGAAGTACATCCTTCAAAATAAATCTGATTTACGTTAATTACAAAGTTTGATTGCGAATGGACGCTGACACAAATTGAGAAGTGGCTGTTCATGTTTCTTCTAAGAGTTTAATTATATCTAGAATTGCAGCTGCTGCAGACAGCATTTATAAAGATAACAGTACTAATAGCACTACTGGTGCAAAATTGTCTGCATATCTCAGGCATAGTTTTTTTTTTTTTTCTTCCACGATGCTTCTTTAGGGAGGAGAAGAAGAAATAGCTTGTGTGTTACTGAGAATGTTTCAGTGAGAACTTAGGCAAATAGACTTTTGCTGTTTACATTTGTTGGAAGTCAGGTCTTTGTCTAGAACATAGAGTAACCACATAAAATGCTGCAATTTACAGTCACGCACCTTGTTCTTATCGGATAACTTAGCTCAGTGGGATCCTATCTATCTGATGCTTGTCTGATAGTAGTACTTGGCATCTATGGCAACCTTTTCAGGGAATTCAGATGGTAGCAGACACAAATGAACTGAGCTTCACAACGCCTGTTAAATAGAAAATATTTCCATTTACTCATGGGGAAGAGTAATTGAGATGCAGGAAAGGTAAAGGTAATTTTTTAAAATGTAATTTTAAAGATGATTCTAGGGAAGAGTAGATGACTGTATTCCAGCTGTTGAAAGTACAGGTAGGCAGTTCTACATTAGGTTTGCAGGTTTATAAGTTTCCTGACAAACACCTCACGTTTGCTGTTTTGGGAAAAACATGTAGAATGGCAGAATTTGTACTACAATTTCAGAATCTGATTTTCATTTTTATTTTTGCTATCAATTTTGTTTTTGTTTTCTACTTCAGTGTGGAAAGGTTTTGCAGCCTGAGGTCTTTCAGCTTTCAATCAGTGGAGTGTCTTTGAGTTGATCTATCCAAATAAATGTGTGGTCATTGCTTAAATATTTCAATGAATAACAGCTTTTTTTTTTTTTTTTTTTGTAAAAGAGTGCTTGCATAGTCTTGTGGATGCTGCCATTGAAAGTGATCAGTGTTTGGCACCTCTGGCCTACTGATAGTTTGACCAACTTGTAAGTAGGCACACTGCCATCCTAACAGATGGATATGAATATAGACAGCCAAGAAACCATGTATGTGTATCTAGTGTACTTGTTAAGGGCAGAGATCCCAGCTGGGGATGCTCAAACTTATGTCCACTTTCAATTTTTGTTTTTATGGGTAAAGGGAAGTCATTGTTAATTTTTTTTTTTTTTTTTTTTTATTTTTTTTTTACTAAATACCTTCAGGCTTTTAATTATTGACTGCATTGAATGATGACAATAACCAAAAAGAGAAATGCCAGCTCCTTCCTTAACACTTCTGTGGACCTATTTCAAGTAAACTTAATTCTCTTCAAAGGGAATCCACTATCAACAGAATCACTGTGAAAGTCAAGGATACTAAATGTATCAGTACTTCAGCTTGACTGGCTTGCTGGCTTTATTGAAGAAGATGCTGTGAATTTTGCTTTTACTGTACAGTGGTCTGTCCAGCATTCAGGCACCCTAATTCCATCTATCCAAGTCTCTCTAGAATTATTTGCAGTAACTCTGAGGTCATGTTGCAGTCTTTCCACTCCTCTTTATGTCCTCTTCATATCTCTCAAATTGTTATCTTGAGACCTATTTTCTCACTTGATATGGTGTTTTTTGTATCCTCTAGAATATGATAGTGATCAGAATCTTCATGTGCATCTGAGTCCATTGGGTAACTGCTGATTCCTGCAGTTTTTTTCCTTACCTGTGTTAGTTCAAGAGTTCCAAACTTTTCTTATTTTCCCCTTACCTTTTTTAATGGCTTCAGTCAGTGCTTTCTGATAATTTTCCTTCCTGATTTGGATGTCCTGAGAAGCTGCTTGCCTTGTAGGCCAGTATTAATACATTGCCATTCCTACCTCTGTTTCTTCTGGTGCTTTGACTGCATCACTTCCCCATTTTCCTGGTCTTAGTTGAATTTGCATTTGATGCTTGGAAGTCTCATTTTTCTTCTGTAGAATAGCTGGAGGAAGAATCTTCCTAAAGACAGTATGGTATATATCCCATTGAAAATGGAGAAGAAAAAAAAAAAAAAGACAAGGGGATAGGGGTAAAATTATGAGCAAAGTTAGTTCTAAATTTTAAGTGTAGAATGTCAAAATTGTTTCTTGACTATGGGGAAAAATGTTACTGTATTCAAATAATGTGAAATGTGGGAAAGTGATGCTGATTAAAACATCCTATGATGAGGAATCAAGTGCAGTGTAGGTATCAGTAGAGAGCAGTCTCTTCTGTGGTGTGAGTGTTCCACAGTACTGCTTTGTTGCAGTTACTTGTTTCATCCATGTAGGTATTCAGGAGTGGCTCTATGACAGAGAAAATTCTCAGGTTAAAAAGGACCCTGAAAAAGAAATACATTTCTTTCGCCTAGAATCTTTTGCCTTTTCACTTTGTTCCTATGTTGAATGGCTACAGTATCTGCAGATTTAGGCAGCAATTCGGGAAATACGAGAGCTAATCTTGTATTCAACATGGCTTGGACTGTTTGTTCTCTTTGGTTGTTGTGTGGTGGACATTATTTGGGGAAGGAAAATTCCTGAAGGTATAAGTAATTGAGAAAAGGTCCTTGTAGAGGGTGGAATGCTTTCAGAACAGCTGCTACAGTTATGTGATTTTTTTAATTATTATTATTTGGAAAACTAAAAGAAGATCTTTAGGACTGCAAGAAAAAAGTCCAATAGAACTAAAAGAAGAAAGCTGATGTTAAGAAATGCATTTGGGTTAGGGTTGTTGTATTGATTACCTAAACTACTGAGGAAAATTAATTACATAGTCTTTTCTATCCAAAAGTTTCCTGAATTGTGTATTAATATTCCTTTCTGCTTTCAAGCAGAACAAAATGAAAGTCCCAATAGTCGGAACTACACCTTTTATGAAATAACTGGGGCTGTTAGCATACCTTTCATCTTCATCAGGTAGTGGGAAAGGTCATGTCTTTGTAAAAACAAATTAAAGTACTTTCAAGTAATTTGAGCTTGTGTGCACCTTACCTTGGTGCGCCCATGCATTCAGCACATTTTTTTTACTGACTCAAAAGCTGGCTTTGTGAAAGAGCCCAAACATGCATTTAGTCATAGTGAGGTCTGTTTTGCCTTGTTGGTTCTGATGAGCTGTTACGTTACTTCTAGAAATGCTGCTTGTCTGGAACCTGAGGTTGGAAAGTTGCAGCAATGTTAATTTTACATCTGTAGTCTCCAGACACTTAGCTAGGTGTAGCTTTTTGGTGATCTATTACGTACTGTCCTGTGAATAAGTAGACGCCCTCCTGTTGCTTGCAGTTATGTAGCAGAATAAAATAATTAACAGTTTGAATTTTTTCTGATATTTTCATTCAGATAGAAGGAATCTCTGAGAAATGTAAATGTTCCTGGTTTGCTTGCTGTGGTGTAAATATTAATACCTGTCCCTATTATTACTGAAAACTTGGACTATTTGACATTTCTTTGCTAAGCAAATTAAACTCCTGGAAAACTGATGAGCTTTGTTTCATTAGTTTACTTTTTTCTAAGTTCAGAATGAAAATCAGTTGTGATCAATTTAGTATAACAGATTCTGAAGTTCTTCTACTGTGTGTTATACAAAATCTTTTAATAGTTTTCTCATGTGAAATTTTTGCTTTCAGATATTTTTTTTTTCTGAAGCCTGGAGAAATTTGCCGGTTTTGTTTAGAATTCATGCAAATGAAAATACTTACTGTATTTCTTGTAAAGTATCTTCGTGGCAACAAATTAAACAATCTATGTAGAAAGCTATCAGAAGTGAAAGCAAGCATAAAGCACTGTCACGCAAAATAACATGAAAATAATTCTTGTCAGCACGTAATCCTTGCTTTTGTCTATTTTTCTTTCCCTTCATCCCTATTCCCCCTCTGCAGTGAAGATGCCATATATTAAGAAGACAGCTGGAAAAAAGGCCCCTGCAAAAAGGAAACTTGCTGAAGTGTTTGCTCTGGGGGAGGTTCTAACGGACACATCAAGGAAAGAATGGAAATTAGGTGTTCCTATAGGGCAAGGAGGCTTTGGACGCCTGTACCTTGGTAAGTCTGTTGACCTTTGGTATTAAAGTGAGATGTTTGTGCTTGTTCAAAACAAGGAATAACTGTCCCTAAGTTAGAAACCCAGAGAATCTTCAACTTATATTTTTGGCTAGAACCATGGCTTAGTTCATGTTCTTGGAAAAAACTGACAGGAGTGGGGAAATGGTCATTGTAAACACTGAGTTTTAAGAGATTCCAGTGGTAATTATTTTTTCTTTTTTTCTTTAGTTGTGAAAAGATAGTTGAATATTTGTTTTAAGTAAAGTTTTGGTCAGGCTGGAAGAAGGGATACTTATGTGAGTGTACTTATCTCATGAACCAAAACCTCTGAAGCATGTTCTGTGAAGGCTACTGATAGCAATTTGGCCGTTTTTGACTTCTGCGTTGATACTGACTTCTTCACTGCATTGTAAACTTCTGATGCGAGTCATGTACTCACATGACATACTTTGTCATGTACTCAATGTTCAGAACAGATTGTAGTGTTGGTGTTCTGATGCTTTAAACAGTAAGGTCCCTGTTTTACAGTGTTGTTTATTGAATTCAGTGTAAACTTTTGAGTGTTCCATAATTGGTATATCTGTGTTTTGAACAAACGAGTAGAATTCTCAAGGATAACTCCGAGAATCAAAAAACCTTGTTTTGCTCTTAGTCATTTTCTGAAAAATTGTGAAGGGATAAAATATAAGGTGATCCACAGAATCACAGAATGGCCAGGGTTGGAAGGAACCTCAAGGATCATGAATCTCCAACCCCCCTGCCACATGCAGGGCCACCAACCTCCACATTTAATGCTAGACCAGGCTGCCCAGGGCTCCATCCAATCTGGCCTTGAACACCTCCAGGGACAGCAGTGTGCTCTTGCAGCTCGGAAAGCAAATGGTATCCTGGGCTCCATCAGATGAGGGGTGGCCAGCAGGGACAGGGAGGTGATTGTCCCTCTCTACTCTGTTCTTGTGAGGCCCCACCTGGAGTACTGTATCCACGTCTGGAGCCATCAGTACAAGAAAGACAGGGATCTGTTGGAGAGGGTTCAGAGGAGAGCCAAAAAGATGATCAGGGGACTGGAGCACCTCCCCTACAAAGACAGGCTGAGGGAGCTGGGCTTGTTCAGCTTGGGGAAAAGAAGGCTGTGGGGTGACCTCATTGCAGCCTTTCAGTACCTAAAGGGAGCCTACAAACAAGAGGGGTATCAACTGTTTGAAAGGGTTGATAACAGCAGGACAAGGGGAAATGGTTTTAAATTGAGGGAGGGAAGATTTAGGTTGGATTTCAGGGGGAAGTTCTTTACGAGCGAGTGGTGAGGTGTTGAAACAGGCTGCCCAGAAAGGTTGTGGATGCCCCATCCCTAGAGACTTTCAAGGCCAGATTGGATGAGGCCCTGGGCAGCCTTGTCTAGCATTAAAAGGGGTGGATAGTGGTCCTGCATGTGGCAGGGGGGTTGGAGATTTCATGATCCTTGAGGTCCCTTCCAACCCGGGCCATTCTGTGATTCTTTCTCCTTTTGTGACAGCTATCAACAGCTTTGTGCCCGCCGTCACTTTTGGATAGGTAACATGACAAAAAAGTAGAGACAATGTTTTTTTTTAATCTTTATGCTCTTGACTCTGTGTTCATCACAGTCCTAGAAAATGAAGGAAGTGCTATTGACTGGGAAAAAGTTTTTAAATAATAGATGAAGAAAGCCTTTATTTAGTAAACTGCCTTTTCTCAAATAGAAGGGAGTATGGACCATGTCCATACAAAGTAGGCTTGCCATATATAGTAGTTCATTTGCCCGAGTCTAAGGTACTGATACATGCTTATGTCAGTACTTAATTGCTCAGTCATTTCTTCCTGCATAGCAAATAAGTACATGTTTTGTGACAGCTTCCTCTCATATTACTAATATACTTTCTTTTTAACAGCTGATGTTAATTCTTCAAAGTCGGTTGGCAGCGATGCACCTTATGTTGTGAAAGTGGTAAGAGAACATTTGAATCTTTACTTCACAAATTGAAAATGCTTCAAATAACATGTAATTTAAAACATCTTCTCACTAAAAATAATACAGTTTCACAGTGTGTTGTTGAAATGTGCATTGTTTAAGTCTAAACCAGAACTGTGGTGATACAGAGGAATTCTGAGATACAGAATTCTTGTGTATAGGAGCTGAACAGTGGAACATCAACAGAGTTGAAGAGTTCATGAAATGGATCAGATTCTGTTTTGTTTGCTGCTTATTGTAAATAGCCCAAATTAAAAAAAAAATAATTAAAAAAACCTGAAATTTGGATAGCTTTTGGACAATTTCTGTGATTCAACAGTGAGTCTGTGTGAACTGTTGCTCACTGGATGTTGGTAAGCTGACAGATGGCTTGGGAGTGGAAACAGCAAAACGTTGATTCCCAGTGTCCCCACAGATATAAAGTTGTTTAAACATCTTACGATAAAACACATACGTATTCTATTTTCTAGTGAATTAAAATGTATGGAGGCATAATTTTTTTAACCTAGCAGTTAGAAGAAACAGTAGTGTTGGCTGGTAGCTCATGTTTTAGTCCTCTGAAGTAAATCTGCAGATCCTTTTTATTAGATAAAATAGTCTTTTGTTTTAATATTAGGGTAACAAACTTGAGTTAAACTTAAGTTAAACTTAAGGTTTAACTTGATTTAACTATAATGCTGTTTTCCTACAGTAAATGTGTAAATTATTTTTTTTCTTGAATTTTGTTGGATTATTTTGTATAGATCCTGCTGTTATAAAATAATATTGTAAAATCAATGTAAAAAGAAAAGAAAGGAATGTGGAAATGGTCATAATGAATGGTCTGGATCTGCTGTCTTGGTAGTTTTTGGCCCTGTGATGAAAGTAGGCATCAGAAAACTCTACAAGAACTCTGTGAAAAGTTTGTATTTCAGCACAGTTCAGAAGTGTGGCAGTTTCATCTGAAATGCTTTACTGTGATAGCTTGCCACTTATGCAAAGATGTTATATTCCTAACTTTTTCCCCTCAGAATTAAAATATGGGGCTAATTAAAAATAATTACATTTCAGTTGTTATTTGCCTTTAATGTTGATATTAATATAAGTTGTCTACACAGAAATTGTAGGGTACTTTGACACCCCAAGACACAGTTGGTGGTGACTCTTTCTGAAATGTTGCCTCTTATTTAAAGGAAAAAAAAAACAAAAACTCTGCATACAGTGCAAGTGTCAAACTACAGTGCATTCAGGGTCCCAAGGAGGGCTACAAATATGGTGAAAGGTCTAGAGGATGTATGAGGAGCAGCTGAGGGCCTTTGCTGTGTTCAGCCCAGAGCAGAGGAGCTGAGGGGAGGCGTCATGGTGGCCTACAGCCCAGAGCAGGGAGCAGAGAGGCAGCGCTGAGCTCTGCTCTGTGTGACAGTGATGTGGAGCTGCATCAAGGCAGGGCTTGGTGTGGGTTAGGGAAAGGTGGTTCCCAAAAGAGTGGTTGGGCACTGGAAGCTCTTGGTCTGTTGTATGGTGGTGTGCTACCTTCTACATGTCCAGCCCGCACTGTCAAAGCAAGGAGCATCCATTCTGCCTATTCTGCTCCAAGGAGCAGACACTGAAGTTATCATCAGCATTTTGCATCTGAGGGGCAGTGGCTCCAAACACCAGGCTCATGCTGAGCTTCGACAGTTGAAACTGATGAAGTAGAGAACCAGTTTGACTTGCTTGTAAAATCATCGGAGATATGTTATTTTATGTTGTGCATCATTTCTGACACCTTCTTTCTCCAAGGTTCATCTGCTTTTCTTCCTTCTACTTTGGACTCTGACAATAAGAAGAGTTATGAAAACTTTTGGTTTGATTTTATGCTAGATACACTTTGTTGCAGCCATTTGTAAATATCCCCATTTCTGATCTCCCTATTGACCACTTGCTTTTAATTTGTGTTTTATAATTTTGTGTTGATGGCAATAAAGAGTAGCCCAGTTTTGTTTTGCCCTCACAAATGACCCATAACATATTATGCCTCTACAGTGTAGTATAACATGACTATGGATAAGGGTCTATTTTCTAATGCCTGGCTGATTCCTAGTTGATCCAAAGCGGAGTGGTTAACAGCTTTGAACAATTATTAGTGTTAAACAAAATATGTGCTTCTGTAATAATGTTCTTCAAATTAAGCTATTAAAGCTGGATGGAAATTGGCTTAGTCTTTGACATATCCTCATAGTATTGATGTCTGAGCAGTACAAAATGAATTATAGCTTTTATTTAAAAAGAAATGCTTTTAAACATGTAGACCTTTCAGATGTCATTGTTCAGGAGTGGATGCAGAGTTTAATAACGCTCAATTAAATTGCTGACTTATAGAGATTGGAATTCTTAAAATACTACCTGAAGAAACTTGTTGAGTTTTGACTTGTTCTCTGTAATCTCTTCCATTCTATCTTTTCTAATTAGAACTTAATTTCAGTTCTACAAGTGGTGTGTTTAGAGTGACTGTGGGCATAAGTTGTAGAAATTTGTGTTTAAAGTCTTTCTGATCTTAGTGTGTTGTAAGATAAGTAGTATGGAGACAGTGGATATAATCATGTGGTCCTTTTTAATACGTTTGCTTGTCTTAATATAGAACTAATGATGTTATAGGGAACAGCATAATAGTCAACATAAATGTCTCTTTTATGGTTAAATAATTTCCTCAAGTATGACAAGATTCCATATCTTCAGCATTTATTCTGACTAGAGAATTTTTTTTCAGCAGACATGAGATTTGATAATTTATTTAAAGATAACTGTTTTAAGAATTGTTAACACCTACAGTTTTTCCCTGAATTTTATTAACGATAGCATTCTTCAAACATAGATAAATCAAATCAAAAACATATGTAGACTTTATGTTCTCATTTAGAGTACTAATGGAATATGCTATGTGGAAGCAAGTGAATAGGTCAGGTAACATTCATCCAATATAACCAAAATAAAAGAATTCAAATGTTAAACCCTTCTCCATGATCTATAAACTACTTATAATTGATATGTATCCATGGTAGATAAGTTGAAGCAGTTATGCATGCTCCAAAGTTTCTGTGCATATATCAATAGGTTGTATTGTTTGTTTTTTTTTCTGGTTCATGGCTCAGGTCTAAAGCTTGGTTGCACAAGAAGGGGTCGGAAAATGGTTGTCTTGGTTCTGCTGTTTGTCAGAGCAATGCTGCTGCAGAAAGTGAGGTGAAGATAGGCTTTTTAACCATGTCCAGGTCTAGGACTTGTGCCTAAGCTTTATATTTGGTCTCATTGTGACTGGTTTTCTTACTCTACCTGTAAACCAATAAATCAGATGCACGTTGAAAGCCTTGTTCATCAGCGTGTTTGATCTCTTTGCATTACTTTCTAAATGTTAGACAGCAGTAAACCTTTAGTTGCTGTGGTGTAGTCTGACATTTGACAGTTTTCTGGATTGTGCGTCTACATTTAAAAATTACACTCTTAACCATTTGAGATCAGTGTTGTATATCTTGAAAAGTTTGTTTGTCATACGATTGTAGACTTTCTGGTTGTCATTGCTGGTAATCACGTAATTTGGGTTGGTTTTTTTTTTTAATGTTTGATGTTTCAAAATAGATGTTTTCACTGTGAAGGAATGAGTTTGGGCATAGGAGTAACCAGACTAACATAACTTGCTGAAGCTTATCTCAGAATCAGTCACTTAAGTGCAAGAGTTGAAGTAATTTTTCTTCTTTTTCTTCACTAACTTTTGAAAATGTACAGTTAAGGTACTTAGATACCTGCAGTTCTTGAAGTATTTCAAAGCTTTGGTGTTTTCAGACCAGTTTCGCACTTGCACTTCACATGTAATATTTAGCTACTATAGCCTGTCCAAAGAAGATTAAACTGAAATTCATTGCATAAGGGTCTACCTTGCATTTAAGCTAAAATCAAAATAAGTGTAGATCTTCAGTTAGAGAGAACTCGTGAAATCTTAAGTGACTTTTACCTTGATCACCTAAGGTACGAAAGACACAAAATACCTCATGTTCAGCAAGAATTCAACTTTTGTTGAGGTTTTTCTTTCCAGTCATTTCAGGTGTTATTTAAGCTCACTAATAACTATTGCAGCTGTGGCAATCTGACTTTAATTTGGGAAATCTGAGATAATAAATGTTGCTTAATGTCTTTTCCTAAACTGTTACTGCCAATTACTGGTAATATTTCTATATGTTTCAGTTGTTATTTTTTTATTCTTCCTTGTTATATGAAAGAATTTTGATACCTTTACTGTTAAGTAATTTGTAATAGAAATAACTTTCTAGAGCCAATCTTACTTTATTAAAAAAATCATTCTATTGAATTCAATATTCATATGCTTTTAGAGGGTGAAGATAGTTTTTTTTTTTTTTTTTTTTTTTTTTTTTTCTCCTAGCTCTTAGTGCTAATGCCTAATAATTACAGCAGTTTTTAACTAATTTTAAATTGTCTTAAAGGAACCCAGCCAGAATGGACCTCTTTTTACTGAGTTAAAGTTCTACATGCGAGCTGCTAAGCCAGATGAAAGTAAGCAGTCTATTAAAATGTTTTTAATGAACAACAAGCACTTAGGAAAATGGACTGTACAGGAGTAATGTTGATCTTTAAAACAATCCTTTTAGATAATTTTCAAAATTATTTTTAAATGATTAAAAACACATAGGTATACAATCTCCAGGCATATAGTAAATGCATATAGTAGAACTAGAGGGTCTGGTAATGCATTCTTTATAATGGTATCAATGGCATTGTCTAAATTGAAACCTTAGTTGTATCTCTGTCCCTATAAATGATGCATTGTTCATTTTCCAGTACAACTGGCACAGTAGTTTCCATAAAATAAGCAGCTCACATGTATACAGAAACTGTAAGTGATGAGTACCCTCCTTCTGTGTAAACTCTTCTGGTGCAAATTCATGAACTTACTTTTATTTGTATTTTCAGTTCAGAAGTGGACTAAGTCCCATAAACTGAAATATTTAGGTGTGCCAAGATATTGGGGTTCTGGCTTGCATGAAAAAAGTGGAAACAGGTGACTATATCTTTTGTTGGCGTATATGAGGATTTATTTTATCAACACCCACCATCTGTTTTAACCTGATTTGGTTTAAGATGTATTTTTCACTTATCTTAGTTTTGTTCACTTCCAAAATAAAAATTCATGACAGGGTATGTGTAAGGAATGGATGAATAGATACACAAATGAATAAGAAACAGTATAGAGTTTATCTTAGTTTTCATTTGTCTCAAATATTGCTGGAAACAGTAAGGCTACATATATGTGTATGTGAATTAGAAGCTGTTCATATGTGAATTAAAATAAAATTTTATTTTGTATATCCATGATTATTATGACTAAAATTCTTCAGAAATAGTTTTTAGCATTCTTTCTCACAACGAGTATTTATTATTTGGTATTGAATGATCTGCCTCTTTATAAAACCTGGCTTCCTAGTGAACTTTCCTTTTATTGCTATGCCATGAAGTTTTACTAGTTCTCTGGCAGTATGTTAGGCTATATCTTATGTAAAAATTCCTGAATTTTGGAAGACAAAAGTAAATATAATAATGTCTTTTTGGAGCAAATTTTTAGATTATATTCACAGTTGAGTATGTAAAGCTCTTTTGTGACTGTGAGCTCTTACATTAACCACTTTGGCTGTAGTGAGTAATGTTAGTGCATCTTTGGCAAAAGAGACTTATTTTTCGTGGTAGGCCAAAAGAAAGGTGGTAATAGATTCTAAGAAACTAACTCTTTAAAGTAACAATGTTAAATCACTTGGTCATTTAGAAAGCAAAAAAAAAAAATTTGTTTCTGTAAGTACTTGGTGCTTGGTTTTTACCTATGGTGAATTGCAATATTTTCCTGTCTGAGTATGGTATCGTGTAACCAGCTGGGCATAAGAACAGGCACTGTTCTTTTAAATGGGCAGACGTGATTAGCTCATGCAGAAAAGCTAGTAGTATATATCACTGTATAAAAGAAATAAAAAGATGTATTGACTGTAAATGTGCTTTCTTTGAACTTGCAGCTTATCTTCTGAGATGTTTTCATTCAGTCATTTGTACAATTAACACATAGATAAAATAGTTTACAAAGAACAACTTATTAACTTTGCTGTTTTTTTTCCTTGCACTTAGCTATCGGTTTATGATAATGGATCGTTTTGGAAGAGATCTTCAGAAGGTGTATGAAGAGAATGCAAAGCGATTTGCTCATAAAACTGTACTTCAATTAGGCTTGAGAATAGTAAGTTAAAATTTCTTTTTATTTTTAACAATCTGGCTTCCTTGTGTAGCTCGTTCAGTTAAATCACATTTTTGTGCTGAATACAGGTCCTCTGCTGGGTGGAGCTGGGTACTGCATTTATATTACTTTTTGTTTTGTTAGCTTGATATCCTGGAATACATCCATGAGCATGAATATGTGCATGGAGACATCAAGGCTTCAAACCTTCTTCAGAGTTACAAGAACCCTAGTCAGGTATTTCTGATGCATTTTATTCCTCATGTTTTAAACCTTCTGTTTGACAACACGTGGAAGTGCTTTGAACCGGTGAAATCTAGCAGAAGCTCATTTTTAAGAATGTATGTAGTAACATTATTTCTGCTTGACATTTATACCTAGTTAATATTCTACGATTTTTTAATGCAGTTTGCTGGACAGTTATCAAATTGACTATTTGCCCTAAATAATAATCTAGAGAAGCTCTCAAGATTAAAAAAAAAATTTGACTCTCAAATAGGTATTTGCAGGTGGAAGCTTAAAATTATATAGCACACCAGTAAATTATGTTTGCCTGTCCGCATTGTTACTTTGTTCCTTTGTTCAAGAAATCCATCAGGTAAGTGTTCTGTTAGTTGGAAAAATTGGTCTTTAAAGTGTCGATTGTTCCACTTGATTTACAGAAATCTCATTTTCCTGCATTTGTAACTTTCTTCACTATTCAAAAAATGTGTATTAGAATTTCAGAGTTGAGTGTTTCTTGCCCAAATTTTAACTCAGGTAATAAATAAAATGATATCAGTTCTCCTAAAGTCACTGATGTCAGTGAGGGATAATGTGAGAGGTATATAGTAGTCAGTATTGTTTAAATAGGGTCAACTGACTTAAAAGGAGGTAGGACAGTAAGTGAGAGAGACAGAATAACTCTGAACACTGAGATTTGGTAGAGTTTTTTTGTTTGTTTGAAATGAAATGAAACTTGTTGGTTATAACTGACTGTTTTGCTGTCATTGGCAAGAAATGCTCTTCAGATCAAACTTCAATAGGAAAAAAAGAACTTGGCATTGTTTAAAATCACATGTAGTGATCTCAACAAAATGAGGATCACTTAAATGAACAAAGAGATAATTCTTCAGTCTTTTTAAGAACTGAGAATAGTTGGGATTTAATTTATTATTTGCATATTTTTGTATTTATAATTCTTTAACCTTGGAATTCTTTGTGGAAATTACTAGGTGTATTTGGTGGATTATGGGCTTGCCTACCGATACTGTCCTGAAGGAGTTCACAAAGCATATAAGGAAGATCCTAAAAGATGTCATGACGGCACTATTGAGTACACCAGTATAGATGCACACAAGGGTGTGGGTAAGGATATAAAACTTTCTTCTCAGTGATAAACGCTTGTGCATCCTTTTAAAAAGAAATACTTAAGACTTTGCTGGATTGTTTTTAAATGACCAGGTTTCTGGAGCTATTAAAAGTTCTCTGTGGGCTATATGAACATACTCCTTTTGCTAAGCTTATTGACATTTGTTTTTAAGGTAGTTTTCTGTAGTTTTAAGAGCAGATTTCTTAAACGGATTCCCTTAATTTATGAGGTCAGTTAAGATATTTAGTGTACTGCTTTTTATTAACTAGGAAGAAATGGAATAGTGGTTATGAGATCTTGATAGACAAACCGTTCCTGTTTTCAGGAGAGAAATCCTTTATGAGTGTGAGCATTGTTCCTTCGTATTTGATAGAGATGCACAGTGTTCTTCACAGATTAAATTTTAGATGATGTTTTAACAAAGCTCTTTTATTATGGATATTAATAATTGTGCCTATAGTCATTGAAAATCAGAAGACAAGAATTTAAAAAATGTTGACTATTGAAACATTTGTGTGAATATATCTTGTTTATTTCTAGTGGATATCAATTTTATTTTCTTCATTCTTATTTTTTAATTAGCATCAAAATATGTCTTGCAAAAATGTCAGATTTTGAAAATTACCTCAAGTCATTTTGTCCATGTTCGATTTCAAGCACAGAACAGTTAATCCTGAATTGCTTATTTATTCTTTTAAAGTGTAATTTGTATCCAATATATGAGGTGTTTTTGTTTTGATGAGACTTAAGAATCCAGTATCTTTCTGTTCTATATTTGGTTTTCAGGCCGCTTAAAGTATTTCAGCACTATTATAGAGAGAGAAGTAAAAACTGTTTTGAACAGAAAGTCAGTCACTTCAGTAGCTTGTTCAATTTTTTTTCCACAATCTGAGTACTTAAAACGCTTCCCAAATTGGGATAACTGCAGCATGTCATATCCTTCAGTAGAAGAAGGAGGTTGATAAAGGAATTGAAAATGAATCCTTCCAGATGCAGAAGCAGTGTTTTTTTTTTTTCCTTTCTTACTTTTGCACACTTAAAATAAATAACAGATTCAGTAGCATTACACTGTTAGCAGTGGCTTTCTATTCTCTTAATGCATATACGAATTTTAACACGTTCAACTCTGCGTGATTTTTCATTTCTTTTTTAGCTACCTTTACAGATTACAGATCTTTTTTAATCTATGTGTATCTATTTAGCACCATCGAGACGTGGGGATCTGGAGATCTTAGGTTACTGTATGGTTCATTGGCTTAGTGGCCATCTACCATGGGAGGATAATTTGAAAGATCCAAATTTTGTCAGAGACTCAAAGATCAGGTGAGAAACTGCTTCCCCTCTTCTCCCCCCCTTTTTGAAATAGAAATCAAAATATTTTAGTGTAGAAATGTTTTGTGCTTTTGGAATATTCCCTTTTGGTCAGTGTGCTGTTTTGTATATGCCTCAACTTCTTTTTGTTGCATACAATGCATCCTTGATTTATAGTAAAATTTTATTTGTACTGTTATGCTGTTTATTTGTACTGTTATGCTGTTGTATTTTGCAAGCAAGATGCTTACTTATCCCCCAGTACTGTTGCTTTAGAATACAACCATGGTAATAGCATAAAGCACTCTTATCAGTATGCAGGTGACCATTAATTATGCTTTAGAAAAAGAGAACTGAAGCATGACGTATGAGTAGCCTTTAACAGCATCATACATTGAAGTCAGTGGCAGAAATGAGACCTAAAAATGGATCTTTGACATCTTTGAGCATCACTCCAGTTACAGGACTACTAAGTGGTGGTGTTTTTTTTTTTTTTTTTTTTTTTTTGCCTTTCTCCCTCACTCTTTTCAATAGTTTTTCACTTTCCCCACTAATCTTCCACTCAAACTTCTCATATAAAGAAGGTTGACCCAGCACAGCAGTTTCTGTCCTATAAAGAAGTATTTGTTACTTGGCTTTCTTCCCCAATTTTCACACTTTTTCTTCCATCAATGTTAGCGATGTTTATTTTTGTCTTCCTCTGCAGTTCTGCCCCCCTTTTCATTATTGCTTTGGCCCAGAATCTGCTCTGAATAATGTAGCTAGAGAAATAGTCCTTCAGCAAGAAGAAATAAAGGCACTGGTATGTGAGATTTTGAAGTGGAACAGCGCTTTTACAGCAGTCTTCTACTTGCTGACTTTTGTAAGAATTGAAACTGGTGAACAAAAACTGGCCATATTTCTGGTAGCCTTTGTGGCACTCATTAGGTTCTCAGGCCTGCACTCCTGAAAACGGCTATACTAAGTCAGACCAAGGATTTATCTAGTAGTGTTTTCCATCTCTGACAGTGGAGCATCATAAAGAGTGTCAGTACGCTGTAAGTTTTGAAACTTGAAAGAAATAATAGTTTTGAATAATTTCTTTTTTCAGATGTAGAGATAACATTTCAGAGTTGATGGACAAATGCTTTCCTGGGAAAAATAAACCAGGTAAGAGGAGCTATTTTAAATTACAGAGCTTAATTTTTTTCTAAAATGTGTTGTAATAAAGTCATAATGAGTTTATAAAAGCAACTTCAGGTAAGCAGCATAACTAATGCATGTGTAACTTCTCATACTTCATGGTAGAAATACAGAAACATACAGAAATTAACCAGAAGTACCATTTCTCTAGATGAAATAAGGAAATATATGGAAAAGGTGAAGCAACTGAGCTATGAGGAGAAACCTGTGTATCCACATTTCCGAGAAATACTTCTGCAAGGACTCAAGTCCATTGGACAAAAAGATGATGGAGTACTTGACTTTGGCTTGTCAGAAAATGGAGACGTGCAAACGAACCCTGTACAAAAGGTTTTTGTTTTCTTAAGAATTTGACAATTTTTAATGCATCTTATGAGCTAAATGGAAAAACTGGTTATATTGGAAGTAGGTGTCATTACTGCATCAAGTAGGAAATAAGCGAGTAATGAAATGTTTATTCGAGTTATACTCATTTCTCTGACTTAACTACACTAATTGTTGTGAAAAATTAATCCAGAATGATGTTTGTAGGTGTACTTTCATATTAGATAATGGACAAGGATAACTTCCCCTATACCAGGTTGCCCTGATCTTGAACACCTCTTCTCTGTTAAATCTATTCCAATGCCTCGTAGTAAGTCTACTCTCTTTGAGTTTAAAATCATTACTGATATCACTGCATGCCATTCTAAAAAGTTTCTCCGTTATTCTCATAAGCCCCCTTAAGTATGAGGGCTGCTCTGAAAGTAATGCCTCCTATGTTATTGTGTTGGCCCATGACATTAGGGGCGGATGTTGGTGGTTTGACGGTAGAGGTTGAACTTTCCCACTGGTATTCCGTTACATTTTGTTGCCGTGTGACAGATGGCAGCAGAGGGGCAGTCTGACATAATGGCATTTGTCATGGAAGCATGTATGAAGCAACGGTGCATAATTGAATTCCTTCATGTGGAAAAAATTGCACCTATTGACATTCATCAACGCTTGCTGAACATTTATGGAGACCAAACAGTGGATGTGAACACAGTGAGGCGGTGGGTGGTGCGTTTCAGCAGTGGTGACAATGACCTGAAAGACAAGCCACGTTCCGAATGGCCATGCACAGCTGTCGCACCAAGAAATGAACAGCGTCTCAATCAGCTCATCCAGTCAAATCTGGGGATTACAGCCAAAGAACTCTGTACGGAGCTGAATATTGGCTTCAGTGCATTGGCAACGATGGTATGTAGCTGAGAACTTGCTCTATCAAATAGTGTTAATTGTGCTCTCTGTATGTTTGTAGTTTCAGTGGAAATAAATAGGAGGCATTACTTTCAGAACAAGCTGTTTAAAGGCTGCATTAAGGTCTCTCTGCAGCCTTCTTCAGGCTAAAAAAAAAAAAAAAAAAATCAAAGCTCTTTCACATCTGTTCATAGGAGATGTGCTCCAGACTTCTAGTCATCGTCCTAGCCCTCTTCTGGGCCTGCTCCACAGCTCTGCATTCTTTTTGAGATGGAGGCCCAAGAGCTGAATGTGTTATTCCAAGTGGGGTCAAAAAATGGCAGAGGGTGAGAATTACTTCCCTTGACCAGCCACACCTTCTGTTTTTTTTTTTTTTTTTTTTTTGGTTGTAGCCCAGGATACATGTGGCTTTCCAGCCTGCAGATGTGTGGTGTTAGTCAGTTTTTCTTCCACTGGAACCCCCAAGTCCTTTTCCTCAAGGCTGGTCTCAGTTTATTCATCACTCAGTCTGTACTCATGGCTAGGATTACTCTAAACAGGATGCAGCACTGTGTGCACTTGTTGAAGTTCATGATAGTAGCTTCCTTTCCAAAGGATGTTCAATGTTTTAAATACAGTTTCTTATGCCCCTTGCTACTGATGCTTACATATTGAAGTCACAATGATGTAATGTTATTTATGAACCCAAATTATAATGGTAGCCTGGTAATATTTTTTTTCTCACATTTAAGAAGCCTTCAAACTCCAGACTTGGACTTAAATTTGAATGCAGTGTAAAAGCTTTTTAGAATACGACTTGCATAAGATATAAAATGATTTTTAATAACAATAAAAAAAGAGCAAGCAGTTGAATAATAAATATCCTCTACTTCAAACTGATAATAAATACCCTCTATTTCAAACTGTATTTATTACCTAACTACATATCTTAAAAAGTGGAGAGTTCATTGGTTTCTTCAGCATGAACCAGCGAGTTGAGAATTAAGAGAGCTGCTGTGAAAGTAATGCCTCCTATTTTATTATATTGGCCCATGACTCCAGAGGGAGATGGTGGTATGGTAGTACAGGTTGAACCTTCCCACCAGTATTCCATTACATTTTGTTGTTGCCATGTGACAGATGGCAGCAGAGTGGCAGTCTGACAAAATGGAGTCTGACGTTGAAGTATGAAGCAAAAGTGTGGAATTGAATTCCTTCATGCAGAAAAAATGGAATCCATTGACATTCACTGATACATTTGCTTGCTGAACATTTCTGGAGACCAAACTGTGAGAGCTTTGAGAGCAATGAGGCAGTGGCTGGTGATTTCAACAGTGGTGGCAGTGACATGGAAGCCAAGCTGCGTTCTGGATGGCTATGCAGCTTTTACACCATGATATGAAGAGCATCTCAATCAGCTCATCTACACGAATCAGCTAATGTTGGTGACTATGTTGAAAAATAGTGCTTTGTAGCCAAGAATTTGCTCTATCAAGTAGTGTTATTGTGCTCTGTGCACCTGTAGTTTCCATGAAAATAAATAGGAGGCATTACCTTTGGAGCAACCTAAATACAAAATTTCTGCCCGTTTACTGTTGTGATTGGGGAAGAAAATGTTGTTGGTTCTTGGTTTTCTAAGGATGTATCTCTAGATTTTCTTTCTTCATTTTTGCCCAGTGAACTGCCCAGTTTCCTCTGGCTGAACTTCTGTGGCTTTGGTCTCATTTTCTGTGGAACTAAGTGTAAAGATTTGTCCAAAAGAAGAATTTATTAGCATAAATTCTTTTTTGTTTGTGACACACTCAATGACTTGAGTGTTTTGGAAAAGCAAGCAAACAAAAAAAAAAAAACCAAACCTGTTTAATGGTTGACTGGGTTATTTGCTGAATAAGTTGACTTGCTGCAGAGCCAACATCTGTGATCTTTAATATCCTTGTCAAGCAGAGGTGGCTGGTGAACGTTTCCATTGGAATAAAACTACCCAAGTCTTATTTCTGTAACCAATATCAGTCAAGACCAAAGTGTATAGTAATAGTTCTCCATGGGTTCTTTTGTGCTAGCATTGGTTAGTTTTTACACTTGGACCTCTTTCTGTACTTTCCCCCACTCCCCACCTTTCCCTCACAAAAAAAATCTGTGCTAGTTGACAGAGATCTGAACTACAGAATTGCTGAACAATTAGGTAGACAGAGGGGAAAAAGGAAGAACATAATATACTAATTAAAAATATTTGGTTTTTTTAACAGTGACAAGAAGCTTAGCTTGATGACTTTTTGAAAGATGAGCACTTTCTGTGATCCAAACTGTTAGAAGCTGCTTTCTGTAAAGATAATTTACCATTGATTAGTAGCATCTTGCCTCAGAAAACCAGTATCTTTCACCACATTCTGAATTTCTTTTGGCGTGATTGAAGTCTAATTTGGAAAAGAAAAATGGAGTCTGGCTTCCACTTTTGAAAAGATGTTGACCTGTATAGCATGGAGTGTTGGTGACGTTTTGGCTGTACCGATCATTCAGTTCTGCTGTCTTCAAACACCTACTCTTCAATTCCTTTAGGGCAATCTACTGTAATGCTGTCTTGAAAGTGTCATTTGGTGTTCTGAAACTTTGGTATTTCCTAACTAGATGAGAATTTCTAGCTTCAGTCTAATTGTTAGGATGTAGGATTCTCTTGTGTATTTAGGTTATGTAAGTAATTGAGCCATGATGTGCATTGTTCATTGCATATAAGCGTGGAATCTCTTTCTCCAGCACTGGTATCTGGCTAAAATGCACAGATGCCTGCTATGTTAAAGGTTAACATTTTGTTTTCACTATCATGACTAATGACTCAAGTTTTCCCAGATGCTTAAGTAAATGAAACACAGTCCACAGTTCTGGTGGACTTTTTTTTTTTTTTTTTTTTTTTTTTCATTTCTTTAAAATACATGCATGTTGGTTTGTGTGTGTGGTATTTTGTGACAGTTCTGGCTGAAAGAAAACTTGCAATCCTGTGTATTGAACAAAATATCTGGAACTCTATCCTAAATTATTCAGGGCAGGGACTGCGTGTTACTTTTGTTTGGTACCGAAGAGTTGCTGGGAAATACTGGGAACCAACTGGGAAATGTGGTTTTTAATTTAATGATGGGCCTCAGATACACAGGTGTAGCTATTGTTAGATGAATGCAGCCTGATTTCTATTACTATGTAATTCACCTGCATCAAGATTAAGAAACCATTTTTATTAAATAAGCTTGGAAACAAGATAAATGTATTTTGCTTTTGTGTGGCATATATTGGATATCCGTTTTTCTGATGAGCATTTAAAATGTTTTCTAGTACAATTGCGAGGAATGTATTATCTGTCACATAAAAGCAGTGCAGCACTGAAATAGTCTTCCTTAATTTTGGTCAGAATGAACAAAAGTGTCTGTGTTTATTCCTGCCTAATGCATCACAAATCTGCTGACATGCTAACCTTGGAGTCTTGGCTGGCGGTAATCAGGCCTGTGCACCGGCAGGAAAGATGTACCTAATGCACTCCATCAGTGCAGTTTGCATATGGAAGTTCTCACAGGGGAGCTGCCCTGTGCCAGCTGAGGGTTACCTGCCCACTGCAGTTATTGTATGTAATTATCGAACCAATCTGTTCAGCCCAGCAGGGTTTAGATGGTAATCATGAAGCAACACTTTGGAAAGGAAAGATGTAATGCACTCTCCCCTTCTCTCAGGAGCCACGTGAAGTTGTAACCACTTAAGAAGCTGTATTAGTAAAGCTATAGTCTTACGCAGTTTCGGGGGAAAAAATAAGTAAACTCTTTTAGTGTTCCTCAACTGTTGTTAAATCTCTGCTACAAATATAGGGCAGCTAATCCTTTGCAGAAATGATACAGGTTTTGAATGAAATATTTTCGTAACTACCTTACAAATAGTTTGCTAAAATAAGATTAATTGTACTACACAGATAATAAGGTTACTATCAATTTAGGGATTTTAAGATAAGGTACGTTGAGTAGAGTTGTACTTCTCTTCGGAATAGAACTTATCATTGCTATTAGGTAAAAATAATAACATACTGTTAGCAGATGTTATCAACTTTTAAGCTGTGCAAAGCAAGCTTTCAGAAGCCAGAATCCAGATAAACTTGAATTTAGTAATGTATAATTGCTTAAGGAAAAGCCATTAACATAAACTTGGGGTAAAATGTTTTTCTGTGTTCTTCGAGATGCTTTTTCAGATGAATCCATTTGTAACCATTTAGCCAATGTAAATAAAATAGATTTTGATCATAAAATCTTACGTTTTCATACATGAAAATTCCAACTGATGTGATTTGTAAACAGGAGAACTGAACTTTTAAACTGTTTGTTGCTTAGTACTAGTATTCTTACATTGATAAATGAATAGGTGTCCTCTACAACTGATAGCTTGAACTATAGGAGGAAATGATGGTTAAAATTGTAGAATATCTTGTGAGGATAATGTGTCTTATACTTTCTGAGTTCAATTGCCACTTCATTTACAGAAAAAAAGAAAGGCAGCAGCTGCAGCCAATGAGAGCAGTGAAGCAGAAATGGAAGATGCAGGAAGTCCAGAAAAAAAGAAGCGTGCTTCTTCCAGTAAGTCAAGAAATCATTCTAGTACTCTAAAAATGAAGCAACTGTAATAGACTCTACCTCCAAACAAATCTCCATATTTAAAAAAATAATTGATGAAGGTGTATGGCAGAATGGAAAAATAAAGCATTTCAGAAGCAGTGATATCGTTAAGTTATGGAATTACTCCAATGTATTTAGTCAGTGTGGTACAAAGTACAAGTAATTAAGCTAGTGTTGTTCCAGAAGGTGACACTGCTCTGTTCATTTTCAGCTGTTCACATTATGGAACAGCAATCATTAAAATCTCTGATTATTTCTCTTACTTGAATGCCTTTTGAATTGTTGATCTCAATTTATTAAGAACTTTCTAGTCTGTCAGAGGCTGAAATAATGTTAATTAGCTAGATTATACTTTCTTTGAAGGAAATAGTAATTTGACATGATGCTGACTTTAATTGTTTGCTTTAACATTTTATTGAAGGCCTTGAAACAATTTTTTAGTTTAAATTCTGTTGACTACTTGCTACTTATGATTTGGTGCATGTGAGCAGAACATACACTTTTGAAGTGTGGTAGTATATGTTGACTTTATCTTTAAACTCCCCTGTGATTGTGGATTGAGATTTTCATAGATTGAGATGAAAAAAGGCTTCAGAAATTGCAATCCAAATCTCATCAACTATATAAGTGCTAAGATTTTTCAGACTAATTGAAGTTATTTGGGAGGGGATGGGTAGTTTTAGCATCCTGTAGTAAAACAAGTGATGGACATAAATTTATGTTTATACCTTCTCTTGGTAGCCTTATAGGTGAAATGGTTCTAGTTTCACGTTTTTGTGCTACTCAATTTAATGAATACTAAGCGGGGGTGGGGTGATTTCTGATGAAAAAGATACGCATGCACTTACTCATTTTGTTCTCTTCAAATTTGGCATTAAAAACTCACTTTAAAAGTGATTCATAAATCTGTATTGAAAGAAAAGGCAACTGTTTCATAATCCTAGAACTCTGATGCTTTTGTCAGATTGAAAATAGCTGATTACAGAAATATTTAGAACTGTATTTCCTAATCTGAGTAATTTTACTCTAATGTGGACTTGTTTCTCTTATGTGTTTAGTCTTGTGACTAAAAGATAGCTTAAAGTTTACTATCCATTAACATGGGTAAGTTCTTGATGCATTCTTAGAAATTAAAGTTTAGTCATGCAAGAACATTCAAAAATTTTTTTAATACTGTTTGACTGGTTTCTAACATGTGGTAGGTATGTGTATTATGGCATTACTCATAAAAGGGGTTACTCCTAAGGTGTTCAAATGTTTCCTGAGTATTTGGACTTAAGAGTAGCAAGAAGAGTCATGCAGCTTTTTTCTGCTTAGCTAATTAATGGTATCTGCATCCAGCTACTTAGAAAACTTTAGTTGTCTAATCCAGTCCCAAAAGGTCCCAATCCAGCTGTGCAGCAGTTTGAGTGCACCACGCTGCTCAGAGGTCTGTAAGGGATTCTGCCAGTAAAGAAATCTCCTGGTACTGTGATCAGAGAGCCTCAAGCTTGGTGGAGGAATAGGAAAGAGCAGAAGAAATTGTTTTTTTTCATCTGTTCCTTTTGGCTCTCGCTGTAAGAGTGGTCACTTCAGATAAGTACAGTAAGCGCCATCTCGCTTAATATGTCTGCTGTTGGTCTTTCTGAAACTGTCAAGCAGGAGCGTTAGACTCTTCAGCAACTGAATTTCAGAAAGGCCTCAAGAAGCGAGCTGTGTTTACTTAAATGAATAATGAAAATTGTTTTTTAAAAAAGTTAAAATTAGCATATTGGAATCAGTTTATTCTTTCTTTTCTGTAACGAGAACTCATATCCTTCCATATTCTTTCCTGAAAGCCAGAATTTCAAGATACTATAGATGATAATAAATTAATCTATTAGTTGATCTCTTTCCACCAGTAAAAATAAGACATGACTTCAGTTTAAAAGAAGAGCTTTTTTTACGTTCTGCTATAGTTTTTTTTTGTGTGTTAGCTACTTTCATGTATGATATAAAATATGCAAACCTATAAGTAATAATGCTGTTAGAGCAAAAAAGCAAATTTTGCCATGCAGTGTATCCACCAACACTTCTGCAGGGGTGTATTGCATAATATTAATAGTTCTAGTATGTTTTTCTTTTTTTTAAAGTCAGTGTGTGTGGATTAGGCAGCTACTATAGAGAACTTCTGTGAAAGTGGCATAAATAAAGAGTTTTACGAGAATCTGTAAGCAGTCCTAGGTTCAAAGCAACCTGTAGAGTTCAAAGCTACTATCTCTGGGAGTTTTAATCTTGGGTGTGATAAAGATTGGATTGTATCAAATAGATATTTTTTTTTTTATACAATACCTTTCATTTCCTTTTTTTATTATTTTTAAAATAATTTTGGATTTTATTAATTGGAGTAGAGTGAAATAGAGTGAAATTTTAAAGTAGGCCTGAAATGGAAAGTACTTTTTAAATGGGATTTTTTAATAAGTAGCACTGCCAGAGGTAGGAATTGTGCATGGCTATATTGCTACACAACATCTAACATTGTAAGGCCTTAGCTGGAGTCTTCAGCTACTCTTGCAGTGTATTAAAAAAACAGAACGACAACAACAAAAAAAATCCATGTGAGGGTTTAGTAGCAATTTTTAATTAATAGATACTTAGCTTTGTGTTTATTTACGCTCCATAGCTTTGCATAAACCAGAATCTCAGTTTTTGTCTTAGAAATCTTTTCTTTATTCCAGCAAGATTGCTTACTTAATGTTAGATTAAATCTATACTTGGATTCCATTTTATATTTAAGGGATTGTTGGTCTTGTCATCAAGTTTTAGGAGTAAGCAAATAATAGGATTTTTTTGAGCTTGTCTGTGGCACTACTTGTTACTTATCTTTGTACTTCACACCTAAGCACACATTCCTGTTAGGTTTCTACCCCTTAATCTTACACCTTAGTATAAGCATTTTCAGCAAAAACCTATTCTTTACAGTAGTTCTGATTATCTGTTGTTCTTCTCTTCTTTCACTTTTACTATCATGCTCGTCATAATAAGTGCCTATTTTCAATTTCCTATATGTAAAATAAGGAATACTCTGTATATTTCTGTCTGCTTGGAACAGTTTCTTTCTTATCTTAAGCTTATTTCTGTGCAGTCTCTCCAGACTCCTAAGACTATAAACACCTTTATAATATAAAATACATTAATGTCCCCTATTGTGTCTCACGGAACTTTCTTTCATTTGCTGCATTAAATGTAAAGTGTTTTAAAAGCGTTGAAAAAAATCTGAAGAAAATGTGTATAGCTATCTCATTTAAGAGTAAAAGAGATGTTTGCTTTTTCTTGTTCTGTGACCTGAAGATGCTGTGCAGTGTTTTGAACACATGTTGCAATTTAAACTCAGATACAAATCCTGGAAGTAAATTTTTTCTCCAGAAAAGACAGAAAAATAACATTTAGTGACCCAGAGTCATACAGGAAACAGTCTCCTTTTCAAGGTTTAAGGTACTTGTTTAACCTAAATTTTATTCCTCCTGCTGTATGGTGAAGAGGAAGGCTGTTTTTAAACACGTGCTACATGTGACTACTGTTTTATATAAGTTTGTACAGTTATGTTTTGGAGCCTCTTCAGCAAATAGGAGTAAATAAGTCTTTCAGTTTTATCTGGAGCAATTTTATATTACTTTTTTTTTTCAGAGTGCTTGGAGTCAATGATATCTTTAGGAAACAAGTAGGCATAAAAGTAGTGAAATTATATGTTCTTGTGTCCTTATGTGTTTCCATATTTTCCTATGAAAATGAATTGATTTCATTTATTATAGCAAACATCATTGAGCAACATGACTCATAACAGGGTACTGAAATTCAAACCACATCCTACAGCTCTGACACCCTTCTTCCCTATCTCTTTTCTCCCCTAGTGTTTTCATATTTACTGGAATTCAAGCCCGTCTTTCAGTTCTTCTGGTCTATTTCTTTTGCTGAAGTGTTTCAATTTCTTTGTTGCTGTTGTTAGAAAAAAAAAAAAAATGCTAGAAGGGAACAAGCCAACTAAGTAAAACTTCTAGTTCCTCTTGCAATCACTTCAGTAGTCTTCCAAGTACCAAAAAATTCTTGTTTTAGAAGATTTACTCTACAGGTCTTTATTAGCTATGCAGAGTTCTGTGAAGGAGTTGGGAAAGGGCAAGTCAGAGGACTACATGCTTCCTTATTTCTCCTTTTCAAAGGAGAAGGGGGGGGGCAAAAAAAAAAGAAAACCTTATGTCTGATCAGTGTGCTCAATTGCTTGTGCTTCTTTTGAGGGCAGAAGGTGATAGCTATACTGTTTAACGATGATCACTACAAGAGCTTGTATAGACTGTATTTTTCTGGCACCACTATACAGAAACTTGCATGGACTCCGTCTTGTTTCAGTGTAAATTCAGCATATGCAAGTGATGAGCTGCTAACTGGCAGCATGCATGCTTCTATATATTTTTCACGTACCAGGTATTTTCTTGGAGTCTAAAATTTGTATGTGGTTGTGTTCTAAAATATTCTATGTATGATCTAGTCCTCAGTCTCTTTTGATACCTACGTTGTAACAGATTTCTGCTTAGGAGCTGTGATTTCACTATCGGAATCTCTCACTGTCGTTCACAGAAACGTCATTTTTGGACTCGTGTTATTTTATTTCTCATACTTCATGTAGAACTGGAAAACATCATCAAAAGATGATCTGTTCCATACACCAGTCTAAAAACAAGTTATTTACCTACAACTGTGTTAATACTGATGCATACAAAAATTTTCTTTTAAAACTTCAAGGGTGAACATTCTGAAACAGTCCTGGTCAATGCCTCGTCTGACACTTAACAATCCTTACTACTGCAAATGGCTTTGTGAGAAGCAGTATTATCTTTTGATAATTTCAGTATTTAATATGAATTTTTCCTCTTGACATTTTAAGCTTATAAGTCATCATATTCACCATGGACGTGAAAATGGCTCATTTTTTTTGCAGCATTGCTTTGCGCAATTGATAAATACTGAAGGCTGCACTTTCACATCTCCTTTTATTTCCCTCTGTTCAGTTCATTTTATTTTTTGCTGAGTCCGTGATTACCACACTTTTTCCCCCCATTTTTCTCATTTTTCTGCTTTCTTGAAGAGCAGAACCCAAAACTTCATACAGTGCTGCTGGATTTCTTTTGTGTAATACTGTTTATGCGGAGAGGATCAGATACCATAGTAAACATATCCAATAATTCCTCTAGAGCCTGCGGGACTCTTTATGCCACTACTGAACTTTGTTGCAGTCTCAAAACAAGTTGTGTAGTGACACCATCTGGTTTATTTTTTGCCTATATAATTCTTCCTCATTTAAATTGCTGTTTGAACCTAATTCAGTTTAATCTACTTTATAAGAACCCTCTCCTTCAGTTGTAATAGCTTTGTTTGCATCCTCATTTGGTGCTGCCCACACAGGACAGTTTCTATATTTGTAAACAGTGGATGGAAAATTTATGGGGAGGCAATATGTGTTACTGGACTAACTAATTTTGAAAAAGCAGGTGGGCTTCTTGGTACAGATCTTCAGATAGTCTGAAATAGCTGCGAACTTCGAAGCTAAAGATGTTTTATGTTTAACATAAGTTAATCAGATAGTTTAAGCCAATATTGCTGTTATTTAAACTTGAAATTATGAATAAAAGGACCTTGACAAGGATTGTTTTTTGTTTTGTTATGAACCTTTTGGAGATTCTCCACGAGCATGTTTATTTAGAAAAGCTTTGAGATTAATGCATTAATGCAATAAAACTAAAGGAAAAATCGGAGGCAGGGTGGCTGTTATCTTCTCCTTTTTGGTGTTGCGAGAGCAATTAAAAATGGGCAAGCTCTTATCGTAGAAGATAGAGTTGGAAGGAACCTTTAAAGGTCATCTAGTCCAATTCCCCTGTAGTGATCAAGGACATCCACAGCTAGATCAGATTGCCCAGGTCCTGATCCAGGTATGGCCTTGAAAGTGTCCAGGGATGGGACACTTCACCACATCACTGGGCAACCTGTTCCAATAATTTAGCCTACATGCCACTGAAGCTACTCAGTTTAAAAACTCGGGTATTTCTGTTGCTTGCTAGAATTTACACTTGTAGTTGCTGAAATCTTTTAACTTTGAAAAATATGAACTAATACTTGCGAATATGATGTAATATATCTCAGAAAAGGAATGTTTTACGTAGTTGAGTTGCTATTTTAATTTGATACCTGTTTACATAGCTTTCAGTTACTCCAATATTTGTAAGTATTTTACCAAAATAGATTTGATTTTTAAATAGCAGTTGTGATTGGAGGGTGTATGTTGTTTTGCCAGAGTAGGTCTCTCATTGATAAAGCTACTCTCTTCAATGACAAGAAACCACCATCAGAACTGTCAGTTTTTTTCTGAGGTGCAGAGAGACCTGTGCCCTGGAAAGGGGGAGTGGGGGGGAAAAAAGGTAAAAGGGGAGGGAGGTGGGCCTGAAAACCAAACAGCAGTGATCTGAGGAAGAAAGTTAATTTAGTAAATACGATGTTGGAATGCAGAATTACACAATGTAATACAATATAATTGGAATTGAGGCTAATAAATAAAATGAGAGAGTCTCCAAAGCTGAAGGTAGTCTAATGCTGAAGGTGAGACAGCAAGAGCGCATGCATGCAGAGAGGAGCAATAAAAGAAGAGGACTCTTCATAACTTGCAAGCAGTTTTATCTTTCCCTCTAAACAGAAAATGGAAATAAACATTGAAGGACTTCTGGGAGATGTAGTTCTTCACTTCTGAGAGCCAGCTACCCAGAACTATTGACAGTCTGTTAACTCTTTAACTCTCAGTGCTCCGCGTGATGTTACGATGACCAAATACAAAAATCATAAAAACATGACAGATTTAAATTTAAATTATCAGTTGCACTGATAGCTGAGCTGACTTAACAGCTCAACGCTGCCAAACAAGTCTTGCTCTTTCCTACTTGTGTGCCTTTCTCGTGTATACTCTTAGTTCAGAGCAATCTAAGCTGCTGCAACTCGTTAAGCTTTCAGAGTACGGAGACTCCAAAAAAGTTTTTACCAGGTTAAACAGCTTGATCAGCTTAGCACAAGATCCAGAGAGCACCAAAAATGACTCAACACTGGGACGCATCTCAACTGTGATTTAGCACATGGGGAGAAAGGAGGAATTTAGGATTTGAATGATTCTTCATCTTTTGCTGAAGGTGGGCTTTTAAATTTGCTAACCTGTATGTAATTGGTTTGAAAAACTGAAGTGTGTGATGTGTTGCTTTCAGGATAAGGTTGGTTCCCAGAAATTGTTAAATTCCTGTTTTCTTTTTCCATCCTCTCATAAATCAAAACCAAACGAGTAATTTGAGTTGATCTATCCTCTTAAAATGCAGCAACGTAATTTATTATGATTCATTCCTGTTATTTTACAGATAATCTTCTCTTTTTTCTTTTTTTTATTGAATTACAGAAGCAGTAGCTACCAGAACACGAAAAATGGTGTCACCAAAAACCAAGAAAAGCGCAGCAACCAGGAAGAGAGTTCAGAAGTAAATAATGAACGCAGCAACAACTTAAGTTGCTCTTCAGCTCATCTCTGTTGTTTTTTTTTTTTGTTTGTTTTTTTGTTTTTTTTTCAGTTACTGTAGCACTGGAATTTATTTCATTCCCTTTTTTACATAATAATTCCTGTTTAAAAAAAAAACAAACTTGGACTGCTGCTTGTACTTGTTTTTCGAAGAATAAATGTTTTAGTAAAATATTTGCATAAGTTATGTCTGCTGTAGTAACAATGAAAAATTTTGCCAACTTTGGAGTGAAGGTGCATTTTTATTTTTTAAGATGAATTTGTGTATAAAAATGCAAACTAAAAGAGAGTGTTTTTTTTTTTTTCCTGCTTTATGATGTAGTTTTGTTGTGGTTCTTTTTAAGGAGCAATAGTGTGGCATCTGATTTCTTTTAATTTTGAATAATTTTGAAAGAGTTCACTTAAATGTACCCTGAGATGATTGAAGTCAGGAGACTGAAATAATAGATGTTTTAAATATTTCTCAAGTATTTTAATAGAGTTAACAAAATAGTAAAATACATATTGTTTCTGTATCGTTTTGTCACTATTCAGAGTTCTTCTGGAATAAAGAAACCAGAATTTCAGATAGAAGGGCCCAGAGCTTAAAAAAAAAAAAAAAAAAAAAAAAGGGGGGGGGGAAAGGGAGGCGGGGGGGGGGAAGAAAGAAAGAGAACTGGTACTCCTCAACTCACCTCTCAGGGTTTTGTTTTATATCAGTGAAGAGCCTGAAGAAGTTAACAAATGTGAATTATAACTTTTTAAGGTATCTAATTCCAGTGAAAGCTTGACTTATGTGCACTTCTCATAACAAAATAATGGTTTTCCTTTTTTTAATAGCTAAGAAACATATAAGCTTCCTAAATCTCTTTAAAGCACTTCTTTGCTTGGCTTTGAGTCTTTTTTTTGGTGTTGTAAGTTTAAAAAAAAACAAACAAAAAAAAACCCAGTATGTAATTTCAGTGTGAAATACCTCTACTTTTTGTTTACGTACCACAGAAATGCATATAATTAGGGCATGAACATAATTCGTATTGGAGAGAGTGCACCGTGAAGTTTGACAAACCAAAAGGAATCCATTTGAGCCAATGGGGGTAGTGTTCTTATGTGGGTGTCCAGTGTACTGCCTGCTTGATAGTATAATGTTTGAGTAGCTACACACTGAAAAAATGCTCTAGCATAAAATGCTGAATGAATAATGAGGTAATGTTTTGAAAACAAGGGGATTTTTTGTTTTCAAATAAAACTGGAAACTCATATTCAAAAGGTCTAGCATCTTGTCGTTTTTGTTTAGACTGCTGTATGGGCTTATTTTCCTAGGTATTACTAAAGTGTGGCTGAAGTCTCTTAAGTGTAGCATTCTATTTCAGAAACAAAAATAGGATTGCTGAAGTCCCTCATGTGAATCTCCTCAAATCAAGCTTTTATTTTAGTGAACTCATTTAATGTATTTTTTTCAAAAAGCTTTAAGCTGTTCTTGAGAACTGTTGTTAAGAAAGCATATTTTATTCTCTTATCTTGCATATATCAATTTCTTTGTACTTTAGTTGTTTCAGATTTTAGTATTTTTAGTGACTTATTTACTGATAAATTTGCTTTCTTTTCTTTCAAGTTTTTAGGAGTGCGTTTTCTTTTGACGCTACCAAAACCAATTGCAATAAACAGATTTCTGTATCTTTGAAGGTAATGTTTTGAGCAGTAGATTTCATAAACTGCCCCTACCGTTTCCCACCCAAAATGCCTTGAAAAAAGTTTTTACTGAGAAGTGCTTTCTGTTCTAGGCAGGTTTTGTCTCCTTTTCATATATAAAAAAAACCAAAAACAATAAACAAACAAACAAACAAAAAAAAAAAAACCCTGCAAATCTGCAGTCTTCGTAGGTAAGAATTTCTCTGGCTTGCTGTAAAATCTTTAAACTTTGGGGTGGTCAAGGATGGACCAAGTGAAAGGCTGTGATCAGATCCTGAATTACTGCTGTATGTATTGCATATTGCATGTGTTTGTACATGTGTTCTCACTGTTTTGCAAAACAGTGATGGGGGAATGCATCACTTTATAAGAGAAGTGTGTAGTAGATTTTTGTTGACATCCCATTTGAAAGTAAAGCCCCTCACACAAAAGAAGCAAGCTGCCTTTAGACTGCATTTACTGCTCTTGATGACTCCAGTTGTGTGTAAATATTAGAAAACAGCAGGGTCCTGCATTCCAAGCATCACTTGAGCAGTGCCATGAAGACAAGTGTCCTTACTGGTATTGTAGTCATACTCCCAAGCTCTCCTGCTGTTTCTAATCTGTGTGCACAGCCGTGAAAAAACTGGACTGACATTTACAGGCACAGCAGGGAAACACTTGAGTAGGGAATGTTAAAGACTCTGCTACCTATGTTTCAAAGTGGCCACCATACATGATAAATCTTCACAGGAGAACTAGTTGGCACTTCAACTGATGGTGTAATGAGGATATTGATAATGAAGCAGAGAATGCTTCTTTTAGTGCTTGAACATTTAGCAGACAGATTGTATTTTTTTTTCTCTAAAATATCTGGAGAGAGAATCAAATTCAGCATAGGTATATTTTTCAGATGGTACTGGTTTGTTGTTTGTTTTTTTTTTTTTTGGATAATTTTTTCAAGACTATTTCTTATTAAGTTCAAATAATTCCTTGTAACTATTGCAGCTGGCATTAAGGGAGGGGGTCAGTTGCTTTCCTGAGTAGTTTGACAGACTTTACTCACTGTTTTGTCCCAGTGAGCTGACAGATTTGGGATGCTATAATACCAGTAATGCAATTAGGTTTTCTGCACGTTGTCTGGTTGACTTCTCAGTTAAGAGTTTCTTTCCCTTTGGGAATAAGACTAGACAGACTGTCATTTGCTATTACTAATTCTGCTTAGCATTATCACTGGAGCTTTTTTGTAATTAGCTATCTTAGTTGGCTCTTAAATTTTAATAGCCAATTGAAGCTACATTTTAGCCAAGTTCCATATCTAAATTGCATTCAGTCCATTAACAAAGTTGGTTAAAAGGCTATTAAAACAAAAGCCAATATATGGTGGTTAGCACTTACATGTTTCTAGCAGTAGCAGTACCAGCCTCCAATGAATATTTTCAAGAAATGGTACTTCCTTCCAGCAAAGGAAGTGCACAAAGAATGACCAAACAGCGTTTTGGAAACAAAGGCTGATTATGCAGAATACTTTCAGGAAAAAAATAAATTGAAGCATGTCTTTTCTTGAAGAAAGTGGGAAAGGCTGGTGGGTGATGCATAAGGGGGCAATTAATAGCTCTGCTCAGATTTGACAGGTTCTGGAAAAGCCAAATAAAGTGATGTTTTTCTCCATTTCAGCTGATCAAAATTATTAGCAAAACCATCTGAAGCACCTTCTGGTGGAATTGTCATCTTGCTGAGTTTAGTTTGTAAAACATCCTGCCAGACATTAAAAAAACTGTAAGCATGCCAGCACATAGGCTCAGAGCACTGCTTCTCTAATTGATAGACCCTATAATTTTCTTTTTTCTGAAGATCGTGGCTGGATACCTCAGCCTCCTGAGTAATTTAATGTAACACCAACCTGAATTTTTTTTATTCCTAGTAGCACATGTTTAAATTAGATTTTTCTGCTTTTTTTTTTCATTCTTAAGGTGTAGGCAGGAGATTAACAGCCTTTGGAACATCCTATAACAAATAACATTTTAGACATTTCTGTGTCTTAAAAAAAAATGTATCTTTACTGTTTTAAGGATGCTAGACTGATACAGGCTACAGTTTTAATAGAAAGTCTACCAGATAATATTTGCTTAAAGGGTGATTTGCCACCCTGTGTGGGCGATGATACATTAGTACCAGTTGCTTCATTGTGAGTGATGTGGGGCAAATTTCAGACAGCATCTGAAGAACCAGTTTAGGTTACTCTTTCTCTAGCATGTGCAGCGTGACATCTAAGTTAGAGTTTCCATAGTGCACCAGCTGCTGTTAAACAAGACATAGAGCTGGTACTCAATTAAGAGAGATTCTGCTGCCTGTAGCTGGACTGGAGGATCAAACTGGTTTGAAAAGCTCCTGCCCCTTCACCTACTGTGCTGGTTGTTAGTGTTGGGCTTTTTGCATCAAAATAGTCAAAAGGAGAAGGAGTCTGTTCTATCTGATTTTCTTGAGACCTTTTTCAATAGACAAGAAGAAAGCAGGTATAATGGAATTTAAAGTTCTAATTTCTAGATTCCTACTCAGGATCTCATAGAAAGCTTTAGGCAACTGCATGCTAATTCATGATCACTTTGATGTTCTTCCGTGGTGTTTTCTAGATTGAGTTGCTGAAGATGTAAGAGGAGGATTCCTTAAATTCTTTGCTTCATTTTAGGCCTTCTTTATCTCTGGATGACATCTCTATATCAATGTTTCGTTTGTTTTTCTGTTTTCTCTTGAAGGAATACATAGCAGAGGGAATATATTATTTCTGTGAATGGAATTTTTCCTCAGTGCAGAGCATGCTAGACTTAAAAAATGTAACAGCTCTAACTGGATAGTACAGACCAGTTTCCTCTATGCTGACATGCCACACTTTTAAACATGAACTCACCAGAGTATCATTTGTACTTCTTATTTCTGTTTTCTCTCATGCCAACCTAAACCTGATTCTTTTCAAATTGGAGTATATCTTACCCATGTTGGCTTCCACACTAGATTTTAAACATTTTTAAATTCATTTCTTGCACCTAGCTCAACTGCTCAAATACGTCAAGTATTTTGAAATGAACCTCAAGTTCCACAACTGCCCAAGCTGCCGATTGGTGAATCCAGACAGCTTTTCTCCACCATTGTGAATACTTTAATAAGTCTACATTGAGGGTTTGCATTTCCTCGTAGATGCACTAAAAGGTGAAAGAGTTGTGGAGGAATTGTCAGTTGATAGGACCCATATTTCTACACCCTGTCTTGGAAGGTCAGCTTTCCAGTTCTTCAGACGCTAGCAGCGGTGGTAGGTTTCATAAAAGTGATGTTTGAAAGAAAACTGATGAGAATACAAAGAGACAGCTGTGACGTATGGTAGAAATGAAAAGAAAATACGCATTTTTATGAATGTGAACTTTCCTCAACTAATTCTTTTTGCCAGAGCGTTCCAGACAGGAAGAAGCCAGCACAGTGGTAATCTGCATCTGCAGCTTTGGAGAGAAGAAAAATGCTTCTTTGGCAAATGGAACAAAAACCCTAGAAAATTAAGGATTAATATGTTCATTTATACAGAAGCAGTGTGAACAGTCTAACATGAAATACAACCAACAAGGATTCATTTAGAAGACAAAAGAACCCTGGAAGGGAAGGTACTTAGCTTTGTTCAGAATGCAAACTATAACATGCAGTTCTGGGAATTGCTGAATTGCACAGCAGAATGTTAAAAGAAATTACTTGATACCACAAGAAGTGCACATTCGTGAGATCCTAAAGGTACTTTCCTTTTCCTTTCTGCCAGAAGAGTGGAACACTGGATCTACATGAAAGTAAGTAACCCTCCAGCTAATTTTTTCAATCTGCTGCTAAGCCTGAACAAAAATAGTTTTAATAACAAACCAAATTCCTTTCTGAAAACAAATATATCCATAAAAAATAGAAATGCCTT